TTTTTTTTATTTTTATTCAAAATTAAATATATATAGTAGTTATACTTTTTTAACTTTATAATTTTTATAAAAAAAATTCATAATTAATAAGAAAGAAATGGAAATCAATATGAATTAAATTCATAATTAAAAACATGTATAATAATAAATAATTATAAAAAAATATATTTATAATTATTTAAATTAATAATATCAAATTTGGAATTTTTTATTATTAAAAAAAAATAATTACATTTATTGGTATCTGTATGTAATAATAAATATTAATAATCTATGACATCTTTTATAATTATATAAATTTAAGTTATATAAATTTCAATTTTTATAATAATTAAAAAGAATTATTAAGAATTTTTCTTTGCATCATAATATATCATAGATATAATATAACAATTGTAATGTATCATGATTAAGTTTCAAAAACTGAATTTATTAAATTATTTGCCGAATAAATTATCCAAATAATAAATTTATTTAATTAATATTTATACGATATAAAATAACGTTTAGATCAGTTATATACATTCAATTTTTTGATATGTGCTCATTATAAAATAAAAATGTATTACTGAATTACTTTTTAGGAAACTAAGATTTAAAACTATACAAGAAGTATGATGCCATTGGGATATATGTAATATGCAGATGTATGCTATATTTAATTTGTATTACTTCAAATTACAATTTCATTATTGAATATTATTATACATTTAACAAATATATGTATATTAATTCTTCACAAAAATATTTTTATATTAATTCACAAATTTAATAAAATTTAATAAAAATAACGATTATTGAAATAAAGATATTGTGTATCAAAATAAATAAAAGTAATAAAGATAGCAATAATAAGTAAAATTACAATAAAATATTAACAAATTAAGGCATTATTATAAGGCATTATTAATACATTTGTAAAACGTTTCTTTAGAGATTTTAGAGACTAAAATAAACACAAAAGTTAGTAAAAAATAGTTATAAAAATATATATGTAAAATGTATATGTATATATATATTTTATATGTATAATATTTATTATTGCTTATTTTTATAAGCAATTTAAATGTTAAATGTGATAAATAAATCTATCTTATTTTATCTGCATTACGCTGTCTAATGCAAATTTATTTATAAATAAATTTTATAAATCTTAATCATTTTTATATTTATGCATTCATTTTAATCTTTAAATTGATCTTCTAAAGCTATCCAAATATATTAATATTTTATACAAAATCTATAAAAATGAATTGAAAATTTGAAATATTAAATTAAACCATAATATTTAATATTATAATTTAAAATAAAAAAGAATAAAATAATAAAGAAGAATTTCTTATTTCTCTAAATGTAAATTTTTATGAATTTTATATGTAATAAAAACTATGTATTATTTAAATTTTTTTAAAAATAAAAATTATTTTAAATATTAATATTATATATATATTTTAATATATTAACTATGTTATATTTTATTTTAAAAGATTTTACTTAAATTGTATGACAAAAGTGAACAAATGATGAATTAACAAGTTAAATGTGATTATTTCTATTATTCAGTATAAGTATATTTCTAAGATATTTTCATATTAGAAATGCAAAAAAATATTCTAAATAAAAGTTATATAATATTGAAAAAATCATGATAATTGTTTAACTTTGAGATAATGAAGAATCTTAAATTGAAGAAACTTATGAAAGTTAAATTTTTAGATGAAACATTATATTTTTTATTGCATATTATTATAATTAATATTATATAATTAATAAAAGTATTCAAAAAGTCCCTACATATATTTTTTATAAGCTATTGAGTTATTAATTTTCAAAATTTATGTGCTGGTAACATTATTCAAGCGTTAATAGTAATAACTAACATTATTTAATAAATATTGAGAAGATTGCTCAGTGTCTATTTACGCACGCATGCGTAAAATAATTACAATATTTTTTTTTATATTTATATATATAAGTAGTTAAAACGTTCATATAATAAATATTTTAATTTAAAAAAAATTAAATTATAATTTCAATATTAGTTTAATTCTATTTATTATTAAAATAATTTATTCAAAATTATTACCTGTAATGCCTTCACAATTGCTTCTGCATCTGTTTGTACAGTTGAAATATTTTTCACTTTTGCATCCACTGTATTGGAAATATCAACATCTTTTATATCAGAATTTTGATTAACATGTACACTTAATGGTGTTGTTAATTCATCTTGTATTACGCCAGGATGAACTCTAATTTCTTGACCATCACTAAGTTGATTAACAAATTGACTTTGAGATAAAAGTTGTCTGGCATCTTGAATTGAAAGAGGAATTGGATTACCTTCTTCATCTGTAATCTGTAAATATGATTATTATTTATATTTTTATTATTATTTATCATTTTTAATATTTTGTTTTACCTGAAGTTGAAGATCAGATTCTGAAAGTTCTACATTTATTCGTTCATTTGAATTGCTATTTCCAGTATCATGATCTGGATTAGAAAGCATTCCATCATTATTTACACTTAAATGTGATAATGATTGATTTACATTTGTTTTTTCTTCTTTATTTCTCATCATTCCAGCATCAACTGATTTCAATAATAAAAAATATACAAATAAATAAACAAAATTAAATATAAATAATAAAGATACTATAAATTATTTTATATATTTTTACCGAAATGTAAAGTTCGAGATTGATTAGGATCATCTGGATCTTGGTATGAAACATATATAATTTGTTGAATACCATCTCCAGATGTATCATCTGTTGCAATAACCTGAGCCATTTGATCAGTTAATGATTGTTCATCAGATTCTTGAGAACTAGGTAAAATTTGCCATACTTCTCCAATTGGAGATCCTTCTATTTCATTTATTGTAGAAAGTTTGGTTTCTCTGTGTACCTACAAAAAACTCGATAATAATTCCATATTATTAAATTTTTTTATATGTATAATGAAATATATATTAATAAAATTCCTACTTTTTTGTGCTTTGTTAAGTTTGAACAATCTGCAAATGCTTTTCCACAAACATCACAAGAATAAGGTTTTTCACCTAATAAAAAAAAAAGTATAAAATAAATTTTTAGAATAAAGAATATTTTATAATTAATAGTACAACTGGGAAGGAATTAATTCTTTATAAAAAAATAAATTAAAAATAGAAAAAAAATGGAGTAAAATTTTGTTATTTGCGTTTTCGAAAAAATAGATTTATCTAATATATTCGCTTTAACTATTTCTTAATTTAATTAATATCTTAATTTAATATATAATATTCTTAATTTAATTAATATTTGTATTTTAAATTAACATATTTTACATGTCATTTTAAAAATTTTTTGAATGACAAAGATGATTAAGTTCAGAAATCTTATATCAAAAAATAATTAAGTCAAGATATAATTAAATGAATATATATCAAATAAATATTAAATATTCTTGATTT